TGCAGTGGTTTATTTTAAAATAAACCTTTGGGTTAAGTTGTCGCAAGCAGGTTTTTCTTGTGTTTCTTGTAAATTTGGTCTTAAATTTTTATTTCAAGTGGCATTAAAAAGTCTTAAAAAGTCTTGAATTTAACTTGCCTTATGCTGTAGGAACCCTGTAACTACTATCCTCAACTAGGTTGTATTTTTATGTTGAGGACCTCGGGAAGACTAGAAAGGCTGCATTCTGAAAGCAACAACTTTAACTATCATTTCGGCAGTTCAAAGTGAGGCCAGGAAAAGTACCAAGTCTCTTTCCCTCTGTATTAAGTAGAATAAAGCAGCATTGCCCCTCCTGCACCTTTTGTTGTGCAATGGCAGTTTGCTCTCTGAAAGATGGCACCTACATATCCCACCTTTTTGCTTGCAAGTCACAAAAAGTTCAATCATGATGTGAAATTTAAAGGAGCCCCATTCATCACTTCTGCTAAGGTAATAGTTGTCAGGATTTGGTTGTTGTTTGAGGACCCAAATGCAGAGGCAGGGAGGGAGAGGTGAGTTTCTTGATGATTTAATAAACTCTTAACAAACAACAGAGGCAGGAATCCAAAAATCCAAAAAGTCAAACGTGGAAAAAAAAGTCAAACAAACCAGAAACCATGGAGACATCAGGGGAACAAACAATCTCGACGAAGAAGACTCAGTGAGACGGAGTTGGAGGAATTTAGAAGAGGAACCAGCACTGAGGAACTGCACAAAGAGTGTATTTATGAGAGACTGAAACAAAGAGAGGACTAACAAGCAGATTGGGAGCAGGTGAGAACAGAGCAGACAGGATAGGAGCTAGGTAAAAAGGAGAACACAAGAGGGCGGCAGAGGGCAACAAATAAAAACCTGAAAACTGAAAAATAACCAGAGAACACAACAAAATAAGAATTAAACCACTAAAACTAGAAAACATGGAGCAAAGTAAAACTGAAAACTCAAAAGAAAACATAACAGAACCAAGACTGACAATAGTATTTTACAGCTGCAGATAAAAAGCTAGAAGTAACATGACTTTTAACAAACTGGTCATACTGTAGGCCTTAAAAAAACAAAAAAATTGCTTCACTTATAAAAATCAGCTTGTAAGGCTCACTTTATAATTAGCAGAATGGAAAAAAGGTGTTGCACCCTAACCTTGTTATCTACTGTTTATAATATCTAATGAAAACAAATTGAAAATAAATGTTTTAAAGACATGGAGCATGAATGAGAATTATCGCTGTTGTGCTTTACAAGAAAGTAAGATAATCACATTATTCGTTTACATTTTTTGCATTTAATACTCTGATATCTTGTTTTTATTCAAGGTCATAATATGAAAATCTTATAGCAGTTTTTCTTTTCTTCATTCAGTCTTGTTGCTCACCATAACATAGGTTTTTTTTAAATCACCGTAATACTATCTAAACCTACTAATTACTTATGTGGGATATTCTAATGTCTTTCTTGTTTTCCAGTGAGCAGTTTAGAAATAATCCTATGGTTAACATTTCATCCTGCACCTTGAAAGTTATGAGTCATGGATTATTATTTGGATGTTGAAGACTGTACTGCTCTATGATGCAGTCTAGATTCCAGTTGTAACTCTATCAGAAATGATAATTTCCTGGAAAAAACTTGGGATAGATTTAAAACCTAACTGCTAATATGGGACAGAAAGAATAAAGATGAACAGTTAAAAGGTACTAATAGACAATCAAACAAAAATCATAAAATTTCAATTAACGCCAAACAGAGTTAATATCAGCCACAAAGTCAGATAAACAAGGCTTATTGAACATTAGATCTCTGTTAGCAAAATCCTTTTTAAATCAATGATTTAATTTCTGATCATAATCATGTTGAGGTCTTTAACAGAAATTTTGTTAAATTAATTAAAGAGGCACATATTCTCATAGTGTTGATTCCTCCGAACTATAATTTTCTTTGTCAGAGGGGGTGAAAGGTTATCTCGAGCCTCCCCTTCATCGGTAAGTTTATTGAAAAGGCTGCATTTTAGCGACTAAGAACCTTCTAAACAATGACTAGTTTCTTGATCGTCTTCCAGTAAGGCTTCCATGCTAACCACAAAACAGAGACTGCGCTTGTCTAGATGTTCAGTGATATCTGTACTAATGCAGACTGTGGAGGGATCACAGTAGTGGTATTATTTGTCCTCAGTGCAGTGTTGGACACTGTTGATCACTTGATTTTTTTAGTGCGCCTGGGAAACTGGGCCAGTCTTTCTGGTGCTACACTGGACTGATTTAAATCCTACCTAAAGTACCGGGTGTTTTTATGTCAGTAGGTTACTTTACATCAGAGACCACAAAAATCCCATGGATTTCCCCAAGGATCCATTCGGCCCCTTGTATTCAATATCTACCATCTCCTCCTAACTCAGCTCATGATAAACAACAACAAACATTACAGTAACTATGGAGATAACTCACAGCTATTCATTGCTATGTCACCAGGAGACTATAAACACATTCAAACGCCGGATAAATACACAGAAGAATTCAACACATGCATGTGCTAAATTTTTATTCAGCTAAATTGAAACAAAACTGTCGTGATAGTTTCATAACGACAGTAAAAAAAAGTCTGCATTCTATCACCTAAGGAACATCTGCAGGATTAAAGGACTAATGACTCATTGGGATCCTGGAAAAACCAAATCATGTGTTCATCTGAAGTAGGGTTGTCAAAAGTATCGAAACTCAAAAAAGTATCTCAAAAACTCAAAAAGGTACAGTGCCGTCACCAGTGGCACCTAAGCAGTCATTCATCTAAAGTGCAGAATAGAGGACAATACACTTTCAGAACACTGTGTGATTGAATAATTCTGTGCTCTTTTCAGTTTCAGACTTTTTTTTTGTAAGAGGTGCAGCTGCTGAGAATTATTTTTGTTTCTTAACTGGTTTGGCTAGTGTCATTGTTATGTGTTGACAGCATAGCCAAGGAAGGAACACTTAATTTGAATTTTATACGTTTTTTATCAAGCTTGCTTAATATTATGCACAGCATACTGTACAACCTTTATTGTGTTTATTTATTGTATTTTATTTAATAATGAAAATATTTCTGTAGACTTTTGGAGTCTTTGTTTTTATCCTTGTGGTATCGAAAATGGTATCGAGTATCGAATATTTTCCTTAGTATCGGTATCGAGTTGAAAAGTTTAGTATCGTGACAACCCTAATCTGAAGTCAAACTAGTCACTGTAATAGTATCTTAACAGGTCTGCCTAAAAAGCAGACCTGTTAAGCTGCAGTTGATCCAGCATGCTGCTGCCAGCATCCTCACCAAAACTCAAAAAGTTAAACACATCACCCCAGTTCTAAAGTCCTTCCACTGACTTCCTGAAAATTGTAATTCTTTGATCAATCCTTGATGGTAATAAGACGTTCTTTTTTTCTTAATTTTTTTTTACCATATGAGATTTTTCTAAATCTACTCACTATGATATATCATTATCTAAATACTTCAGCTGAGCAATTTAAATACTCTGTTCTCTTCACAAAATCCTTAATTAATGACAATCAGCTCTTTTCTGCAACTAGATCTAAATAAAAAGTTAAAGCCTGCTGTAGAGCTTTCACTATAAAAGAGTTCCACCTTACAGCTGATAAAGATTAAAAAACAGTGGTTTACAAATGCATGGAAGTCGTATTTGAGGCAGATGACTCATCTTGACAACTGGTCTGTTATTTGTTCTGCACTGCAGTTTTTCACCTGCACTTTCTCCACCTCTCATCCATTTTTTCCCCTCAACTGTCCACCCTCTATCTTCTTTCCTTCTGGTTCAGTTGTTTTTCTTCATGTGCTCATTTTCTTCATCTCTTCTAAACTAACTCTCCCTGCTCCTTTGTTCTTGTTTTTTTCCTCCTCACTTTCTAAAACCCTTTTCCAGGTGTCGGAGTGCAACTGGCCTTCACGCCAAGCTCCCAGCCTTCACAACCTCTTTGCTGTGTGTAAGAACATGCACAACTGGCTCAAACAGAACCCAAAGAATGTGTGCGTCATCACCTGCTCGGTAAGATGCTCCTGATCATTTTCATGATTCACTTGGATCATGAACACCTCTATGTATAACTACAGCTTTAGAGGTTATTTGGAAGTAATACTAAAAACGGTTCCTTTTAACAAGGCAGTAAAAACGTTGCCTTTAAACCATTTTTCCAAGTTTTCAGTGAAGCTGCCATTCTGCTCTACAGTAATTCAGGAACAAGAAATACTGACGTGTGGTGAGAGATGTTGTTGCCTAGTCGCTGAGGTTTGGTATTGGCTTGGCAAACTTCTCCTTCTTGCATAATCCCCCTCTGAATTGGTTCCTCTTCAAAAACAGGTCCTATTGCATCATGTCTCAGAGATGATTGCAATTCACTGCAATTAACTGAGAGAAAACAGTGATAATTAAATTGAGGTCAGCGTTATAATAAATGCTGGTGTAAAGAATCCAGCTCACAAGATGACACCATAAAATGAAAATTGAGACAAAATAGCAACAATATTTGGTAGAACTTTTCTAAGTGGACTAAAAGTTTGATAAACTGTTTTTAAGAATCTCTGTTTGGTGTAGAATTACTTTGTTCAGATTCAATCAATTATAGTATTTTTAGATTTCCAACAAAAAATGTTCGGATTCTGTCCAGAACCTGTCGTGTAGCTTTACAACAGCAGGACTAGAGATGTCCCGATCCAGGTTTTTGCACTTCCGATCCGATACCGATATTGTTTTTGGACTTCCGATCCGATACCGATACTGGCCGATACCAGCCTATCCGAGCATGTATTTAAGTTTAAGTTAAAGTATTGAGCCTTAGTTGTAAGACTCATGTTGAAAAGGGTTTTAGTACTCTTAATAACATCTAGCCAGCTAAATTAGGTGAGATTGAATAAAACACAATGCTTGGTAACAACAAACTTACCTGTTTATTAAGAGATAAACACAAACTGGACAAAATTATGAATAGCAATCTGAAATTGCACAGTGAACAGTAAAACCGTAAACAGTTAAAGGTGCAAGTATTACTGTAAGTTTTAATAAAAATGCAAAACAGGGAAACACTGGCGCAAAATAGTGGAATGGATCGTTTCAATCGGCAAAACTGGAAAATACGGACCGGATTTTTTTTTAAAAATTGGATCGGCAGTCTGGATCGGCATTTTACATGCCGATACGTGGATCGGATCGGGACAAGCCAAAGCAGGACACTAAGAAAGAGATGCCAACTTTAGAGTTGTTAGCAAATATGAATTGCAATATTGAACCTGTTTCTGGTTTAAACATGTTTGAGATAATCAGAAATGTTTCCACTGTGAAAGTAGCAGAAAGGCATTATGAAGAACCAATTTTGACCAGTTATGACTGGTACCCATCATTTAAAAAATATTTAGTTTTAGCAGAGTCTGAATTCAGAACTATATCCAGTTCTGAAGATCATAATGTTAATTTGATACTTTGTCTGTTTACTTTTTCAGTTCATTAAACTTGATTAAACCCATGAATGATTGGCTTTTTAACTGTTTTAGCAAATAATAAAGACTAATTTTAAGGGGGTAGTAATTTTGGAAGCTGATTTAACATCTGCTTTGTATGCATACAGAATGGCCGCGCTCCCTCCGGGGTTTTGGTCTGTGCCATGTTCTGCTTCTGCCACCTCTTCAGCCACCCAGTTCCTGCCATGCAGCTGCTCAGCGCCAAGAGACCAGGCTCCGGACTCTGGCCCTCACACCGCAGGTTTGGATCCATGAGCACAGAGAGGCAGAAAGAGAAAACAGAACTAGCACAGAGAGGAGAAAAAAACAAACATCGGTTTGACTCATTATGCTGCGGCTCTCTGTAGCTTAGACCTAAAATAACTGAAACTTTAATGATGTTTTGGTTCGAAGTGCAGATTTTGAGAAATTAGCCAGACATGTCAACCAAATGAGATGCATTGTGCACAATGCTTGCCGGGTTCTCATTATAGCAGTTTTTTTTTGGACTTTAACAGTTTTTTCACACATTTCCAGTTTATAGCCAAGTATTTTGAAATGAACATTTTTGTTGTTTACTAATTTGTAAGCTTTAGATCAGTCAAGAATAAAAAGCAAAGTTATTTCTACACAAACAAAAAAGATCCTTTTTAGAACCTCTAGTCTTTCAGAGTCATTTCCCAAAAGAACAAATAGTTTAAACAGTGTACAGTCCCTTTCAAACATTTGGTTGTTTAACATCTATTGAAGGATGATGCATCCTGAGGCCCTGTTACGAGTGTCACTGTTTTTCTTTTATGGCACTAATTAGAATAACAACAAAAACTTGTTTTATTTCACTTTGACAACGTCCTTTCCTTCCCGTCCTTTAGAGGTTGACAAAGTATGCCTGCTGGTCAACTTTCAAGTTAGTGGTCTCCAGTTTTGAAAGAAACAACGTTAAATAGAAACAGTGTTGGCAATGGCATTCTTTTTTCAGTCATGGTATAATCTAACTAATTATTTTTTACACATTGGTAATGCTGCTATATTGCTTGCAATCTAACATGGTGCAGTTCTACAGTGCAATCGATCAAACCATTTTTCATATGCGAAGAGAGGTGTGGTGATGGGGGTGAGATTTACAGACTTAAGAACAGCGTGCTTAAACTGGAATCATTCTCTAAAACCGACCTAAATGTTCCTATGATTTTCTCCTCATGGTGACTCCCGTTTAACCTGATCACTAATTTTATTTTATTTTTGTTAAATTGCCTGAAAAGCCTTCTTCTTTCAGCATTACTTCCATTTCAAAGCCAATTGACCCATATTAATGTTCATAAATAAGTTAAGTTCTATAAAATCTGGTCCGGTTTATTATTTTGTAATAAACAATAAACATAAAAATCATCTAGATAAATATATTGCAGAATTGCGTAGATTAGTACACAGTGTTTTCTGATTTGTAATCCTTTTTATTAATTAATTATTTAATTAATTATTTTACCTTCTTTATTTTGTAATCAATCCCTGTTGTATTTAATGTTACAATATCAGGAAAGCCATCCAAAGTCATTGATATTATAGATCCTTAAAAGTAACTGCAGCGTTACTTTGCTTAGTAACTAGTTACTTTGATTCAGCAGTAACTGAATTACTATCTTAGTCACTGTTTGGGAGAAATAATAATAACTAGTTACTTTTTTAAGTAACTCAATCCTTGGAAATAATCTAAACCCTAACTAATCTAAACCCTAAAAATGTGTCTTTATGAAATATTAATTTCTTTTAAGGAGACATTTCTTTGTTTTGTCATTTTCTTTAGCTTTTGGCTACAATGTTTAAAATCAGGCATCCCCAAAGTTGGTCCTCGAGGGCCGCTGTCCTGCAGGTTTTAGAGGTTTCCTTGCTCCAGCAATGCTGATTTTAATTAAACATTGATTAACGGGCTTTTGCTCTACTGCAATCATTATAATCAGCTATGCTAAAGCAGGGAAACCTCTAAAATCTGCAGGACAGCGGCCCTCGAGGACCGAATTTGGGGCTGCCTGCTAAAAATAAACAAAAACAGATCTTTAGATTTATTCCATTTGAGAGTTATTCTGTAGCAGTTTCTCAATATGTGTACCTATGCGTTCTCATCATCAGCCTCAGCTCTAGTACTGTTCCAATTCATAAGAACAAGACGAACGAGAACGGACAAAGTTCGGAAAAAGATGCTGTGTTCGCCCCTCCCTCTTTACCCAGCATGCATGAGAGCAGACTTGTCCGTTCTTGAGATTGATAATTGACCCAGCATGCACTGCAGCAGCAGCAGCTTCCAGGGGGAGCGCTCACAGAGCTCAGAGTATTAACTTAAAAGTTCTCTTTTCTGTTGCCGTTTTATGATCATTTGAGGCAAGAACATTATAATTTTAAGCTTCACTTATTTGACTGTGGTAACTATTAGTCCCCAACTAAATGAAAAAAGTAAGAATTTATACATAATTTATATATAATTTTTTATCTAGAGACTATTAATAACAGGAGGTGAAAAAGCAGCTCTAGACGAGCCGAGTGTGTGGTGACGTCACAAGTACTCTACTGTTCCAATTGACCCATATTTATGCTGCGTGTTCATGTCTCCCAAAGTCCATTCTTTCCTTTCCTTTCCATTCTTTCCTTCTTCTCAAAAACATTTTGGGTGAGGACACGAGTCCATACTGGCATTGTTGTGAATTGAGAAACGGACCATGTTTATAAATGTTTTACTTTTTACTTGTATTAAAAAACATGGAAGTTTGAACCATTTAATTAAAAATATTAATAAAAAAGTTTTTACCCAGCACTGTAAAAACAACAACAAACAAAGAAAAATGGAAATGGTTAACGTTTAACTTTTTTTAATTCTTTTTCCATTCAGGTACATAGGTTATGTATGTAGCATGGTATCAGAGAAGCCCACTCTTCCGCACTCAAAGCCTTTGGTAATTAAGGCCCTGACTATGAGCCCAGTCCCCTGTTTCAACAAGCAGCGCAGCGGCTGTCGGCCTTTCTGTGATGTCCTGATTGGAGAGACAAAGATCTTTACCACTGCGCAGGAGTATGAGAGGATGAGGTGAGAAAAAAAATCCTTTCTTAATCTCAATCTTAAAGTAGATTTAGGTTTCAGAAAATTATCTGATTATACTGAATGATTTAATTGTTTTCTATCGCTTTCCTTCTCCGAAAAAAATCCCCCTATATTGTTTCCAACTTTTCCTGGTTCCTATATCCTCAGGGAGCACAGGATCCAGGAAGGGAAAGTAGTGTTCCCCCTCGGTGTGAACGTTCATGGAGATGTTGTGGTTTCCATTTACCATATGAGGTCCACTATTGGGGGGCGTCTCCAGGCCAAGGTACGCTCCTACCACTCCCAAAGGAAGATATGTTATAGTAAGCTGAAAAAACTCCCTCTGGAAGGTCTAACTTGTCGCAACAGTTTATCACTTCTGCATGCTTAATTCCAACTGTCTTTGAATCTGAGAGCAGTAATTAACAAGGAGGTATATTTTTAGATTTTTCATGCAAGCAAATGTAGTCTCCTTTAAAATGTGACCATATACACAGAAAGGACTGACACATGTAAGATTTTACAGGTCAGGTGATGTATCCTGAATAACAAACAGAACCATATTGATTGCTTTATATTGACCCGAATGCATCAACCTTTTTTCCCTATTAATAAAAACAGAGTAGGCACCACGTATACGGGAGCTGAATATTAATCTAACCCATCCCTATATTTTAATAAAATACATAAAAACCCCAACTGTTAATACACTACCAAAATGAAATTTTGATTTAATCATTTGTGTTGATTTCATAATATAGTGTTTTATAATAATTGTATTTTTCCTTGTTTTGAACAGGAGCGAATAACAAAATGCCAATGAAGTCAGATGATTTATGTTTTGATAAGAAAAACCATCTGTCAATGTAGAATTTTTAATTAACGGTATAGTGTAGGATTTTTTGAGAATTTTTAAGAAGACCCACCCTCTCAAAAAAAAAAAAAATGCACATACACAGCCTTGTACCAAGAGGGAACGCCTGTTAAACTCATGCGAGAGCGTGCATGAGCGCATTTTGCCTTGTGCACGCTCTTTTTAAAAATTGCTGTTTGCATCGCTCATACAAGCTTTTTTTCCAAAAGAAGATTTGCAATTTTTTCACTCTGTCAGACTCACCACTGGTGAAAAAACACGTAGGACGGCCTTACGTAAACATATCACCAGAATGATTGACAATTAGGAGGACCACTTATTTTGATGATCCACCCAGAAAAAGAACATCTTCCATTATACATTGAAGTTGTTTAAAGTGGAAAAACACTTTTTGGCAGATCATCTTATTTACCTGCTTACATAAAGAGAAAATACACTTGTATTCAGAACGTTTTACTTTTTCATATCCGGTTTTGCAGTGTAATATCTACTCACTAAAAACCAATCCAAACAGTTGCTTAAATGAAATGACGGAGTAGTTGAAAAATGAAATTCACCAATTCTGGTCAGTTTTATAGTATTGCATAGTTTATCTTCGTATTTTTTTTTTTTTTTTCAACATTTTAGTCAAATGAGGATTTATTGCTACAATAATAGACTTTCCAAGATTATAGTTTTAATTTCAAAGAACATAATAATACTGGTGTGGATCTTTATTTTGACAGAGATGAGCATCAACACATCTGAATAGTGTAATACATATGATGCCACTGGAATTACATCTTTAATGTAACCGGCGAAATTAACCTATCCAATAATTGATCTATTTTTAGGAGCAGTATTAATGTTAGTAGGGCTCGGACTGTATGCAGTGATATGCAGCAATAGCCTCAAATGCATCCGCCAAAATTATAATTAAATTTGTAATGAATTCTTAAACAATTCTTTATTTTATTCATGTCTCACTAAATACCAACAACATTTCTTCTAAGCTTTTAAGTCTACATTACCCTTGAAGTTTAGAGACTTAGACTTAGACAAAGACTGAACTTTATCCCTTGGTATAAATCTTTCAGGGAAATTCTGGTTCCAGTAATTTATATAGAGTGCAAAGAGTTAAAGCAAGATGCCATTAAGGATAAAAATTCAACAGACAAATTTGTAATGTCCTGGAATATCTTGCCTTTAGATATGAAAATATCTGCTTAGTAGGGGAGACTACACAGTACTTGACTTTGTTTAAGTCATTTCATGGTAATAGATTCTATTAGCTGGTTAAATTAAAACAATTTTTCTTTTTTTTAGGTTTCCAACACACAGATATTCCAGATCCAGTTCCACACTGGCTTTATTGCTCCAGGGACCACGACACTGAAGTTTAACAAGTAAGAAAAGTGCCTCATTTTTGTTCCATTTCTAAAAGATAATCTGAGTAAAATCCTGATATTTGTTCTAAAGAAAGGTGTTGTCTCTCATTTTCTTTTTTAATTCTTCTTAGACCGGAGCTGGATGCCTGTGACTCCCCTGAGAAATATCCTCAGCTGTTTCATGTGATCCTTGATGTGGAGGTAGAGGGAGAGGAAAGACAGAAAGACCTGACGCCGCCATGGGAGCAGTTTCCCTGTAAAGACCTGAATCCCAGTGTGCTCTTCTCCTGCCATCAGGAGCATCAGGACGCACTGGCTGTTGCAGGTACTGAAGCTGCAATAAATGCTTGTGTTAAATCATTTAAATGTATTTACTGTGGATACCTAAAGGGCTGAGACATTAATGGAGAACATCAGATAATGTTTTAAAATAGAAAAAGTAAAAAAAAAGCCAAAGTTGTTGTGATTTTCTATTTAGGCTTAGACAATGATGTTAAAAACTTCTCCAACACTTGCTTACGGTTATGCTACCTTTATATAGTTTGCAGCAGCCATTTCTGCACAAATCACTGAATTTGTGATTGTGCAGCTGGTTGTGCTGTCATGTCAAAGTAGTCTTTGTGTAGGAAATTGCTTCTTAGACTTAAAGGAAACATACCCAGAATATGATTTTTTTTTTCTGTTTTCTGAAACATTACTATAAATATTGTGGCTGCTGGCTCAGGTGGGTAATCACCTGTCCTGCACATAGGAAGCTTGGGTTCGTATCCCCACTGAGGGGCATGAGTTACCAGTGTGTTAACCTTTCACGCTAATGCCTGCTTTGTAAGTCACTTTGGATAAAAGCGTTTGCTAAATAAACTAACACTCATATTGCCAAACAGAGACTGTTGAAACTTTTAGTTATAGGAAGCACTAAGGAGCGTTAATGGTAAGAACAAACCAATGAAGGCACTGTTTCTTTGCCCAAGCTGTTAAACACTTGAGTCGTTTAAATGTTAATGCCTTTTGCACCAATACAACCTGCCTTCCCAATTTAGTTATACAAATAAATAGAATAGAATACCAATGCCCAGTTGTATAAATTAAGATTAGCTTTCATTTCTTTGTCCTTCAATCCATTTTTAGTGTGCTTTGACACACTTGCAGGTGAAGATTCTTAGTCATCCATGTCATAGTCATTCCAAAAAAGTAAAAAAAAACAAAAACAAAAAAACAATGGACTGTGTTTGCATATAAACTTTTATATAACTTTTATTTCAAATGGATTTTATATTTTTGATGGATTATTTTAATTTGAAAGAGCAATCCATAAATGAAGAAATGAAGATATTCCTTTAAGTTCATCACATTGCCAGTCATCCTTTCTTAAATGTTATAAATACATTAATAAAGTGGGTTTGATTTGAAAATACTTCTCATAATTTCTGATCAAAATGCTGGTATTATTTGACAGGAGTCTTCCTGCTTTTTTACATTAAATCTTTAGTTTTTAATTTTTAATACAGGAAGTTGGTCAATGTTGTTGCTGGTCTTGCTGTTCGTATATCATACTCTTGTTTCAGCTTGTTTTTGAATATTTTTCAACTTTTTGTCTTTTCTATTTCTATTTATGTGTTAAAATAAATATTAACACTTGTCATATACAAAAAAAGCCAACAACCACCTTACTTTATTTACTAATGCTAGGTATCATTATCTATGCACCACATTGATTTTATTTAAACTCAACTTTGATCCAAAAGCCAACAGAGCATAATTAAAATACCCTGAAATAAAAAAAAGAAAAAACATCCAAATCCTCCTATATTAATGCCTTCTTATGAAGCTATAGCTAGTTTGAGTTGTACATTGTATTTTTGATGTGTCATCATCTTGTTCAGCAGACATAGAAATAATCTGATGTTGCAAAATGTTGTCCTTTCAAGATGAGATGGAGGGCTTGGATTTGGAGGGTAAGATGGTAGCAGTTTGTGAATCTGTTAGAGTAAACACCCAGCAGCCTTGCAGTTAACGAGGGTCTGGCTCAATTCAATCCCAAGCAGCAGATTACAATATTGACAGATTCATTTTCTATTAGTGGAAAATCGGTTTACCTTGAATTGATTGAATTGACATGTAACCCACGTTGGTAGGAAGTAGTATTTCACCTTGGTAGAAATGTTCAGGCCTCTGGGGATGGCAGTAGGTAATGATTAGTGGTAAATCCCAGTAACTCTCACACAATGAAAGCATTTGTGATGACAGCAGACAGTAATTTAGCCTTTTTTCAAAGTTTTAGGCCTGAAAACTAAATTCACTCTCACTTATCATCATGCAAAAGCTAGAAAATTGTGTTATGATATTCTACCGAGGTGAAATATTTCTCTTGGTTTTCAGTAGCTCAGGTTAACCTAAATGTTAGCCCTCGTCCCAGCTAGAGGCATACAGATTATTTAAATTTAAAAAAAAATTTTCTCTGGATAGTTTGTCAGTTAGAGGAGTTATTCCCTAATCTAACCCCTCCTTCCTGCTTAAAAGATCTTTAGGCTTCGTAGGCAAAAGCTACAGGATGCAGGTCTGCATCCTGCATCCTTTTTATCCCCATTCCTTTTCTGATGAAGATGCTGGAGAAAAAATCCTCCACCTCATAAGACCACAATATTGCAAAGCTTTCATCTCAACTATGTATCAGCCACAGCCAAGACAGGCACCTCCCCTGTAAGGCACATTTTTAAATGATTAGACGTTGACCGTAAGGCTCTGGAGAGGGGTTGAGCTGTCCTTTAAGGTTCCTGAACCAGAGTACCTCCTCCACATTACAGCACCATCTGAACCGCAAACACTGTCATTGACAAGGACTGTTTCTGGTGTAGTCTAAGTAGCATCACAGCTTTTTTTAGACATTTATACCAGGACCACATAGCCAGTAAAAAGCATGGCTGAAACCCAAAACCTGTGCAAGAAAAACTCAGAGAAAGCTTTGGACGATGCCAATGAAATCCATCTCCATCCACAAGAAGATATACATGTAGGCTTTCGGTTAGATATTAGTGTGCAAGTGCACAAAGCAGCTGCTGCTTGTAGTTGTTATAATCTCCCATTTTATGCTAGTTTGTTTCTGTCTCAGTTCCTCTTAGTCTGCTTTTTGTCTGTCTGGTTTTTACAGAGTTGTCTGTATTTCTGCTTCTGTCTGATGCAAACGTTATGTTGTTTGATTTGAATGTGTCTTTCCTAAGACTTCTACCTGAAGCATTTTGATTCTCTCTTATGATCCATTTAAGAACCAAGCAAACAGCATGGAGAAGGTCGGGGCCACGGTGAGGAAAGCGAGCCCTCTGATGATGAAATGCTGTCGCTGTCGAGCCAGCGAAGCAGCATCAGCGCCGCTTCTCAAAAACCAGAACCCGCAGCTCCTGTGCCTGCCGCACCGGCACCTGCTGAGGAGGTGGACCTCCTCGGTCTGGGTGGGGAAGATATCAACCATCCGTGCCCCTCCTCTCAACCTTCAGCAGCTGCTTCCACTGATCTTTTGGGAGATTTGTTTGGGGCTCCACCCCAACCAGCCAGTGCGCCCTCATCCTCTCAGTCCACTCCGCACAAAGTGACGCCAAATACTGCCTCACCAAGTCCTTCTCCTGCTCCACCAGGTAAAAAGAAAAAAACACTTTAAAACAGACTTCTAGTATAGGGAAAAATAAAAAGTCATATATTCTAATTGAGAATGGGTCTGAAAAGCTATTTTGGAAGTTTAGTAAAATGTTTAGATTATGATAAAAATTTCCAATAATGACTTACTACGAAATCTGGAACACCTAGAAAAGAGGGGAATTGATGTAATAATTTTCCAAGACGTGATAAATATGAATATAAAATGTTTGTTTTCAAAAATATTTAAATTCTGTCCTTCAAATTTAAATTTCAGACTCACAATTTAACATTCACAATAATACTGTCCTAGAAATGTCCTATTTTGTCCCTCAGTGGGAAAACTCTATTGTCTCAATGCCAAAATTAAAGCTAAATGGAGGTTTATATATTACGAAAAAAAATAACTTTAAACATATAAATATTTTTATATCACTTTTGATATCACTAAATTACTTTTGATTATTTTAGGATTGTTCTAATATTAAGATGTTTTACAAAAAAAATCTTTTTTAGCCATTACTGTTGTTACTCATTGATGTGTATATTAGGTTCAATCAGTTGAAGTAGTATGAGTATCAGTGGTATTCTGATTTACGGCATATTTATTTATCTTAAGTCATTCATTCTAATTTTACTTGGTTACATGAAAACTTGCATTAAGTTTTCATGATTTGTTGTCTGTTTAAAGGACTGTCCCTTTACAGCCCTTATTTCAAACTAACACTGTGGGAAAAAATATCATAAAAAAATGTTTTAGAATATTATATATAGTATTATATATATAATATTTTGTAGCACTATTTCTATTGACTATTGACGGTATGATTTTCCTGCAGCATTTGATCCTTTTAGAACGGCTCCTATGCCGCAGCCTCAGGAGATGATGGGCTCGTTCCTCGGACCAGGTAATGTGGGGCAGGCAGACCCTTTTGTGCATGCTGCTCGTTCTCCATCACCCACCCTGCAGCCTACAAGCCTGGGTAAGGCATGCCACTGCTGCTATGCTGTCTTTCCTTTGCTTTATATTTAACAAACACATTTTTAAGTCTATATGCATGTTTTATAGAATTGTGCTGCTTGTTTTTTGTTAACTAGCTCTAATTTAAATGGAAATTGATGGGTTTTTGGTTTGAAATGCATGGTTTATGCTTTCTTCATTTTCTGAAAGAAACTTGCTTTCATTGCTTCTGTATGTTCTGCATTAAACAGACTACATTATATTTACACTTCATGCAGATGTTGGTTTTTAAGGTTAAGCATAATCCATTCTGCATAACAACACTGAACCTGAATCTGTTTAAATTTTGTACATCATTGATGATGAATTTAGATTAAAAAGAAAATACTGAGTCCAGAAGCCATGTCACAACAGGTCTCATTCCAGTTGTCTTTGCATTGTGGGTTTACTCTATGCTCTTTACTCTTTGTGACCGAGCAGGTCGAAGTTCCCCTGTCCCAACAACCGCACCTACTGTCAACATTCAGCAGCAAAATGCAATGGGAGGTTGGGACTGGAACAAACCTGGCACCACAAGCACAGGTACACACACAGGCTGCAATAAAACTAAAAATATAGATGACACTGTGGTGTGGTGGTAAATCTCTGCAAACCAGTTTTATGCATTCTTATAATTTTCAGTCTATGCACCGTCTCTAGTTTGCTCACATTTACATATTGTACTATGCATGCATGTAAAGGCCTACCTCTCATATTGGTGAATTCAAGCCAGATCAAATAGCAATTGTTGTGGGAAAAAAGTATTCAACTATATAGTCCAGGTAAATAAACGGAGATTGATGGATTTCTCTCAGTCAGGCACTTTATTATACTTTGCAAAGTAAAACCAGGCACATGACAATAATAAAAGCCCTCACAGTAAGATGCTCTGCCCTGTTCTGATGTAGACAGTGTTTGTCTCACTAAGTTAAAGCAAAAGAGCTTTGAAGGTCTCTGCATATCGTTACCTAAACAAAGACAGACAGTTGGAAAATATGTTATAAACATAATGTTATAAAATAATCCCTCAGAAAGAGTCTAGCTTGTTATGAGAACCATTATTTTTATCCCAAACACCCCCTAATAGTATAAACAACCCCCTATTTCTTAGACACGTTGAATGAATCAAACTCGGTACTAAAAAAATCAATATATATAAAAGGGAATTAATAGGAAATAGACTTTTTACCACCACAAAACTCATCCTAAAGAGGAGCGCTGCTTGCATTACATAGATTGCATGAAAAATTCAGAACTCTTTCTAAGCTGATGATAATTTTAGTGTGGAAGAGGGAAAAATCTGTTTTAAAAAATTGGTCAAAGAAGATTAAATAAATCAATTTTCTTGTGAGGTCTGCCACATTTATTTGATCAAATAGCTCATATTAAACCACAGGGTTTCCGCGAGTGAGATTAGGCCACCCTTAAAAACATGCAAGGTTTTCATGTGTTTATTCTAAATAAATCTGAAATATGCTGGTGATGATTCTTTGTCATCCAGGTCATAGTAATTCCAAAAAAAGTTATAAATAAACCACTTCGTTTTCCAAGTTTTAAGATAAGATCCAGAAAGTTTTCGCAATTCAAAATTTTGCGTTGAGTTCCAGGCTTTATAGAGTAGCCTTGATTTGGCTTAGAAAACATGACAAATTGACAAACAAAGTGAACTGAAAAAACAGGTCCACCCCTTAGTAATGGGAAGTTGTTATAGTCGGTGTTGGCCTGGCTTAACAGGCGTGATGTTTTGACCACCTGCAAGTTGATGAGTTTTGAGGTGATAGTGGGAAGGAATCAACTCTAAAGCTGTGTTTGTCACGATTTGGTTACAGATTGTTGAGCCAAAAGCAGGGGCAGGGAGGCAGAGGTGAATTTTTTGTGGATTTAATGATAGTAACTGAAGCACAGAGGCAGGTAATACAAAAATCCAAATATGAAACAAATTCCAAAACAAACAGGCAACCAGGAATCCAAAATGAAAACTAAGTCCAAACAAACAAGAAACCAGGAGTCCAAAAAATCAAAACATGAAAATAAGTCAAAAACGAACCAGAAACCACGGAGACATCAGGGGGATCACTAACACAAGGAGGAAGGCTCAGAGAGAAAGAGTTGGAGGAAGTTAGACGAAGTTAGACAAGGACCCAGCAAAGAGGAACTGAAGAGAGAGAGCATTTATAGAAGGCAAAAACAAATAGAGGTCTAATGAGCAGATTGAGAACAGGTGAGCAGAGAGCAGAACAGAAAGGGAGCTAGGGAAAAGGGAGAACACAAGAGGGCAGCAAATATAAACTTGGAAGACTGAAAATAACTAGAAAACACAACGAAATAGGAATTAAACCACTAAGACTATAAAAACATGGAGCAAAGTAAAATTAAACACTCAAAAGAAAACATAACAGAATGAAGACTAAGATAGTAACCAAGAAAAAAAACAAAGAACAAAACAAAATAAGAATTAAACCATAAAAAACTCTAAAACAAAGAGCAAAGCAAAACTGAACATCCAAAAGAAAAAACATAACAGAAACTCAACAGTGTTATAACGCAGCACTGGAAAAAACTAAGTCCAGAGGTTTGTTTTTAACTTTTTTTGGAAAATCTGGCATAGCAACATCAAAGATATTAGTTAAACTAGAGAAAAACTATTTTAGGTATTACCTTTACACAGGACCAAAGGTTTTAGACCTGATAACTGCCTAGTTATTAATATTAATTTACTTTCTTGTATATTTTGAGGGGGAAACTAGTTCTAAAAGCATCTTGACTTAACAGGTTAAAGATGTTTTACGTTTCAAGGTAGATAAGCCAAAAAAGATGAAAATGCTTACTATAAAACGGGTGCAAAGTTTGTTAAAGTCATTATGAGTTACATACGGTATAAATCCAACGAATGTCTTATGATGCAACTACAAGTCATTGCAATAGACACCTCAAATTATGTTTACAATCTGATACATCTGGGAATTTAACTGGTTTTTAACTTTAGTGGACTAAATTTCTTTATGTTTCTTTTTAATACATAATTCTTTAATTTAAAAACAGCATAATGGCATACTCACTCAAGTTAGATGGTATAAATATATTTTAAAGGCGCATATTCTCAGAGCAAATATTAAAAAAATGTGTTTTTCTGAATCTAGTGTTAACACAAAATCTGTGCAAAAATAGTTGAAAAAAATGGAAGGGCATTAAGATAGCAACATTTGATTAAGTCTCCTGATTTTATTTATGTCATAATTTTTGTGAATACCCTTTCTTAATGTAGGAGGAGGTTTTGGTATCGGCAGTCGGTCAGCAACCACCAGTCCCACGGGGTCAGTCCACAGCACCCCCACCCACCAAGCTAAGCCAAACACCTTGGATCCATTTGCTGACCTTGGAAACCTTTCCGGCAGCCTTGGAGGTCTCACTCTAAAGATTTACCGTTCAACTTTTTGTTACATTCGGTATTATACAATTTACCTTCATTTATATCTATATTTTCAGGTGCTTCTGGATTCTCCAGCAAGCCCACAACCCCCACAGGATCAACCCCATCCTTCCCACCTATGGGTTCACCATCCCGGCCACAACCATCCCCCCAGCACACAGGGGGGTGGCAGCCCCACACCGGAGCCAACTTCCCCTCCTGGCAGCCCGGCACTGGAGGCGGTGCAGGATGGCAAGCCCAAGGACACGGTCCAACCAGCCAACCAAAGCCCAGCCCCAGCCACACGTCCATGCCTCACACATCGCCTCAGAATCGACCCAACTACAATGTTAGCTTCTCTGCGATGGGAGGAGGCTCTCCAAGCGGCTGTGGCAAAGCGCAGGCAGGGATGGGTGAGTAAACTGGGGAGGTTAAGGGACATGTTGACTTTTGTGATGTACATGTTCAAGGTATGAGTTTCTGATTAAAGCATTTTTTATAAAGCCCTTTATAAATAAAGTGTCTTAAAAAGCAAAATAAAACCAAGCTGGAGATGTAACTATTTACCAGTTGGCCTTTAATTTACATTAACTGGACTGTCTATAATTACAAATGCACCGATCCATTTTTTCCAATCCAATACCAATATCTGGGCTGAGCGTATCGGTAGATATCCGATACCGATCCAAATCATCCAAAAAATTAACCATATTTTTTTCCATGCGAGTAAAGACTTTAGCCTTGACCTAAAAATTGTTATATAACGTAGCAAGTTAACACAGATATAAATGTACTTTATGTTATTTATTAACAAATAAGCAACAAAAAGAAATAAATAACAGCTCAATGTAAAGTGCACTGGGTTGAATCTCCGGTATCTGATATCAAATCACCAACATGCAATCCAGCTAATTGGTCAATATCCAATCCAGGTATTGGATTGGTGCATCTTTATCTATAATTAGGATCAATTTGGTAGGTATGTTGCCAGAGACACTTCATTGTAGGTTTCCTATACATCTGGCTGCAGGAATGCAATGAAAAAATTAAACTTAAAGTTAGTGCAGGTTTTTTTTTTTTTTTTTTAAACAAGTGAATTTGCATTTGATTTGAGCAAGTAAGTAAAATAATCTGCCTCTAGAATTAGAATTTTGCATTAGAACTAAGAAAATATCTCCATGATCTTATTTCAAATAGAAATAGAACAATATCAGGCGGCCAATATGTTTTGCCAATCTTAGTATGTTTTACTTGTATCCTCTGATACATGCATGCATTTGCCGATTCATTAGTGCAATCAGCAACTATTGTTTGGTATCATTTTGAAGACATGTATTTTTGCTTTCTCCATTAATTATCCATTTTTAATATTTTGTTTTTTGCTTTATTAAAGTTGTTTTTTTTTTGTTAATTTCATACCTCTGTAACATTTTTTTTCCTTGTGTAGTTTTTAGCACGTGAATCGAAGAACAGAAATCAGTACTGGCTTTAAGGATATTGACAGACAAATCTGGGATTGGTTAGCCAGATTTCAAAATAATCTGGATTAACAGATACAGATCGACCGATAACGGTTGAGCTTTCATTCTTAACTGTTAAAAATAGTGTTAAGGGCAATATCATGGGGGAAAAAAGCTCATTTAATTTAGCAATCATTTAACTTTACTGCTCTAATTATGGGCAAATACAGTCATAGTATTTCAAGAAATGTTTATCTTTATTGTTTTTATTAGTTCAGCTTTCTCCTTTATGCGAGGCTGTGAGGTTTGACTGACTTTATGGCTCAACATGGCTAAGTTTCATCAGAATAATAGCTGTTTTCTTTTTTTTCTTTTAATGGTGAAATCATAACTAAGTAATTGGCCCTGTGGTAGTTGACAACTAACTTTGTTTGACAAAGATTGCTATTGTTTGTTTTGAAATTTGGGAATTTGGATAAGTTGATGAAATGTCTTATTGTTACATTTAGATTTGAGTTTTTTTAAGAAATACAATTCAGATTTTTTTTTCATCAGGTTACTGGATGCCAATAGGCTTCATCATTTTATGTATTTCAAAAGTATGTTTCATGGTTTTGTGTTTGCACTAGGTTCTAAGCCCAAAGCCTCAGATGCCAACTTTGATGACCTGCTGTCAGGACAGGGATTTGCAGGGGCCAAAGAGAAAAAAGGCCCCAGGACAATCGCTGAGATGAGGAAGGAGGAAATGGCCAAAGACATGGACCCAGAGAAAATAAAGGTCGGCACACATAAAACGTATCTGTACTGAACTTCCACACCTGATTTTATAAAAGCTCTGATATTTTTAAAAAGAGCTGGCTGTCAGAGCCTCCATTTATTCCAGTATTAATGAGGTGGTCAGTGTCCTCTGCAGCCAAGTTTTAGTTCATCTAATTACTAGTTTCACCAGAGCCAGAATGACTCAAAGAGGTTTTTGTTAATAATTGTTTCAAATCTGGTCCCTGGCCACTGTTGCCTCCATTCCTACTCCCCAACTTCCCTACCTCCCTGTGACCCAGATTCTGGACTGGATCGAGGGGAAGGAGCGTAACATCCGCGCCCTGCTGTCCACCATGCACACTGTGCTTTGGGAGGGGGAGACGCGCTGGAAACCAGTGGGTATGGCTGACCTGGTTACCCCAGAACAGGTCAAGAAGGTTTACCGCAAAGCAGTGCTGGTTGTGCACCCTGATAAAGTAAGTCATAGAGAAGCTTGTTTGTTTGCTGCTTTTTAACCCTTTAGCCTAAGTAGAATTGTTCCCTGTTAAGCAGCCTCACCACCATGTCTGCTTTTACACCATTGATTAGAAATTGTACTTTTTTAATATAGGATGTATTAAAAACATACAGAATGTCAAATTAAAATGTTTTTTTTTTTTACAATTAACAGTTATCACAGAAATTACATTAACATCAGCTAACTTTATAAACAAGTGAACGGTTATATATGTTGGAAAAACTATTTATTTAAAGTATTTATTGTATAGTATTTATATTTTTGTATTTATATGAACAAAAAACTCAGTATTTAAAGCATTTTAAATTTTAATTTCTCTCTTCTTTTATAATGGTGAAGATTTGACTATTAATAAATCTGCATGATATTTTATCATGTAGATTTATTAACCTACAAGGGGGGGTTCTGTATGTCTTATATTACGACAAAAACCTGACTGAAAAGTAGACTAAATGAAAAAAGAAAAGCAACAGCAAAGTAGTAGCTAAATTTCTTCATATTTTTTATTAATATGACCTAAATATTAATATAAATAAACAAATGTGTACATAAAAAACAACATAACATATTAGAGGAATGATGTTTATTGAAGCTTTTAAAAAGTTCCGCTTTGAGGAATATAAAACTCTAACAAGCAGTGTGTGATGCAAATCAAGAATTAAGCATCAGAAAATACTTTATTGATCCTAAGGGTAACATAAATGAGGTAAGAAGAGTTCCTTTTAACAACAAGACATTAAAACATTAAGTTGTTACTTTGACTTACTTAATAATTATGTCCCTGCATCTTTTTCTTTTTATCTTAGTAGGAAATTGCCCCACAAATGGTAGCCTGACCAGGCAGACTAATAAACACCATCTACATGGCTTATTAGCTTGGAAAAGAGCAGGTAAAGCCCAGTTTCAAAGGCATGACTAACATAGGGAAGAGTTTAGAACCAATCAAATAACTATGGATGTTACACAAAAACGTCTTAAAAAAAAAAAGCAGCAGCCAGGAAATATTTTAGCCATATAAACAACTCTTTCAGGACTTAATAAAGGGCATCACTAAAACATTGCTCTGTTGAAGCTGAAACTTGAGTGCTATGGTTATAGAAAATCGCTGATGCTGCATGGGCCCACCTCCCAATGGCCAGGCTAAAAAATAAAAAAAAAACACAGTAACCTCCTTTTTTTTAATTTTATAGATCAGTAAATAATTCCAGTGCTTTGCCTTTAACCGAACATAAACCTTTTCATACAAGACACAAAGAGCGACAACGTAACAATGAAAACGACCACAACAATCAGCATCTGAATCACGTGATTGCTGACGGATCCAAAGGCATTCTTTAGGAAGTCAAACACGGAGCTTCCATCCTGGTGGACGGATTTAGCCGTCTCATGAAGGTGGCTGACTATTTCATGGATTGTGATGTTATAGTCAGGAACGAAAGTGCAGCATTCGGATCCGATGACGGCGCACGTTCCTCCCTGCGCGGCTAAAAGAAAGTCCAGAGCGGCTCTGTTTTGCAGAGCTAGGAGTCTGACAGAGGCGAGCTCGTTGGACATGAGTGTGAGAGCCTTCCCGGTTTCATTAGCTATCACTTCTATAGAATGGGACAGATCGGCTATTTGGTCTAATGCAGACATGACCCCGTAAAAAGGAAGGAGCGGACCGAGTGCGTTTTTAAAAGGTGACTGATGGTGTGTTCCTAGAAAATCGGAAATTCCACGTCGTACACGTTTAAAGAAAGTTCTTTTGGGAAGGGAGCGCGTCACCCTCATTGCTGGCACAACGTATCCCAAACCGCAGCGTCCCTTGTAATCCACTGGAAGATAGGGGTAAGCGAGGCTCCCACACACCCAGTACATCCCCACAGGAGAGGAGATGGAGCAGGTGGCTGTGCGCTGAGCTAAAGCATTTAGGCGAGCCTCTCCTGCTGCATCCAGACATGGATGCGGAGCAGAGTTAAATGCTTTCCAGTCTGTTTCCCTCCGTCCCGGGCCCCACTTAAACGTACGAAGGCACTGCGAATATCCCATCGGAATGTGGCCGTCGTTCTCAAGGCACCATGTGAACCTCCGAGGGAGGACAAGAATGGGAACAGCTTTGGGGGTTACAGAACATCTGTTGCAGTTTCCTTTTACATTTTCACAGTGAAGTGGTCTCATTTTTAAACCGGGGCAGTTGAGGTCAGAAGAAGAACCAGGAAGGTTGATGTGCATCAGGCGGCACATGTCACAGTCCGAGGCAGGCAAGACCATGAGAGGTAAACCCTCTCCAGCTGTGTAGGGCATCAGACCGCATACGTAGCAGCTGGAGTTAGGACGGAGGTGGCTGGCCACTTCCCACGCCATGGTCAGGAAAACGTTGCTGTCATCTCTCTTTATCTCTGGGATCTTTATGTGCTGCGGAGCTCCTGAGGTGCACACCACCAGGATCAGTATCTGAAGCTCAGAGAAAAAAGACATTTTTGTGACAGAAGTAAAATTCCTTCCCCGGATATTAAAGATTTTCATGTTAAAGTAACCATCTGGAACAAGTTGACCAAGAGCACCACAGAAAAAGCAGATGTTTCCTGTAAGATAAAGAAAAAATCAATCTCTGATGAAGATTTCCTCTTAAAAACTCAAATACGTTGACCTTTTTCTAAGGAATAAACATAATCTTCCAGTAAACTGTCTTTACCTGCGGAGTCAGTCAGGATTTCAGCTTCTAAAGCGACTGTTCCAGTGTGCACACAAGGAGAAAATGAAGCACCTACCCTTATCTTATTTGTTTGCCTTTCAAACTAGACAAAAGCACAGCCAAAGCAGCTGAGTGTTCCCAATCAGAGGAAGATAGTCAAGCAGTCACAAGACCTGTGATTGATCACTGGAGGACAGCAGGAAATCAGTTGTTCTGTGACAGCTTTAGGCGCCATGATTTGCATTTTCCTGTTACGCAACAGCTCTTTACATCAGTGGGGCAAAAACCTTTTGTAACAAGTATCCCTAAAAAAAAGAAGGGTATGATTCATGTATTTGTTAGATTTCTAAGCACAGGCTAAGATTTTTAAATTTGATATTAGAAGGATCGATAGGAATGTCCTTAAAAGTTAAAATATTAAGTGGATATTTCAGGAAATAGCCTCTTGTTTTTTCCCTCCTCCAGTAAAAAAAAAAAATGTTCCAGTTCATGCTCATTTTTGTTTTAGTTTTTTTATGGGTTTAAGGACAGAAAGTACTCCCCTTTTGAATACATATAGAATTTGAAAATTAAATGTGCTAGAAACCTGTTATTTAAACATGAAAAACTGCCTGGTTTTCCCTTTTTTGTTGCCTTTTTATTACTTTTTAGGCTATTATATTTAATATTAAACACATTAATGTCCATCTAATCAAGTGTACAGTTTTTAGACCTAGACCTCTCTTTTTGACTGTGTTTTGAGTTTGATATACTAAGCAATTGCAGATTCTCTTAGATAATTCTTCTTCTTTTGAGAAAATTATGCATACAGTAAGTGCAATAAGAGTGCAGTGAGACAAATGCACTTGGTGGTAGACTTCTAGTTTTGAGAATATATTGTGATTTTTTAAGAAGTGTTACCAGGTGCATTTGTCTTACTGCAATGGAAGATTATTACACATACTAAAATGGAATCATCTCAAGAGAAGATAAATAAATCTCACAGAATAAGAGAAAAGTTCATATATAAACAAGTTCTGAAAGTTTTTTGTAATTGGTTAGATACAAACTATTGCAGTGTATTTGTATGCCAGGAAAGACATTTGAATCTCACAGCAGAAATTGATCTACAAATAAGTAAAATAATTTCTTGAAATAAATGTATTTGCCCTTTATTTGAGCAGGTAAGTTAAAAGATCGACCAATAGAATCAGTATTTGCCTCTTTAAATAAGATTGGTATATAAACTGCCATTGAAAACACCTAACAGGAATGATTTGTAAGTTTATTTTAGGTGCTAATAGGTTATTCCATTGAGATTTCTATTGACTAACCTATTAAAGTTATGTGCAAAAATACTTTTAGTTCATTTCTTGCAGTGCACTTATTTTACTTGTAATAACTCTGAGGATAATTGTGATGTAACATTGTTTTGCTTTACAGGCAACAGGACAACCGTATGAACAATATGCCAAGATGATTTTCGTGGAACTGAACGATGCCTGGTCAGAATTTGACAGCCAAGGACAAAAACCTCTCTACTCCTAAAAGAAAATAAAAAAAAGAAGAAAAGAATAAAGAAATAATGAGCAGAGTGCAACATGAGGACATCCCTTTTGTTTCTGTGTTTTAACCCATAAAGTGTCGCCACCCCTGATATGGCTAACCATGTATTGTCATCTGCCTTTATACCTGCACATGATGCTCCTTATGCCCAAAACCTCTAAGAAAAGGCAAAAGAAAACCCAACGGATTAAAGAAGCGCCGCTGATCTCCGACATATGCCCTCTGTATGTCTGTGGTGCAACAGCATTGCTCATTGATCCCTTTTCTAACCCTGGAATCAGCTCAATCAAACCAACAAAGACGTCTGGGAGGTTTAAGGAGCTGTTTGAAAACAGAATATTGCAGGATAAGAGAAAAGCAAATCAGGGAGCACATTCAGCAGCAATTCATCGACTGCTCCTCAGAGCCGCAGAGATAACGGATGCTCCTACTTTATGGCACAACAAGCATTCACCTGCATTTCTGTTTGTTGGAATGCAGTTTTCTCTTTTATCTGTCTGAAAATGCATCCAGTCGGTTCTGTGATATCGGATGCCTTGGAATGGTAAATTAAACAACAGCAGCATTAATTAACTGTGAAACTAGCAGAGAATAGGTTTGTATTCCACTAAAATGTGTCTGTTTACTACAGATGGAATATATTATCAATGTCTAAGTAGAATAAAAATAAGGCATAGGTGCTGGGTATGACAAACGGGACAGTTCTAGGCCCAAAGTTCAGAGACTGGCAGAAATGTAAGCCTTCACGGATTTGACCGCTTCAGTGTTGAACTTTTTCAGGTCTTCTTGTTATGAACTGTGGTTCATCCATAACAATTTCTAGCATTTCAATGATCTTCAATGAGAAAAATATCATGCTTAGGCAAACCTTGAATATGTTTTCAGTGGCATTAAGATCTAATAACAGGCTGTGAAGGAGCTCCTGAAGGATGTATTGATTCTATTTTTATTTATGACTGCTCCTAGCAATACTGTTAGTGAACTAGAGTCTGGACTGCATATGAATGATGATCTCACAATGTTTTCCTTTCAGCATGTCAGAAGTACTCTTCTCTTCTTCTTTGGAACTTTTCTGTTTTTTTATTTTTTTATTTTGGGTTTCACTCTATTAAAAATAACTTCCAGTCCATTCTTGATGCATCTTGTAAAATGTCAGTCTTTTCCTTGATGTCTGCATCAGACAAAAGTGGTTCCTTCTCTGACCTTCTTCACACCAGGTCAGCATTCAAAAGCATTTTCCTTATTTTTCATGTAAAGACACCCATTAATGCCTGCTGTCACTCCTGAGGAGGCTCTGCACTGGTGGAAAAAGTTCACATTTAATTAAATCGGCTTCAGTCCTAGAGCTTTCCTTCGAGCAAACTCTTTTTTTTAAACTTAAAGTTGTTGATGATTTATAAACGGATTACAAATAGCAATATCACAGATTAAAAATGGCTAAATAAGTGTATTTCCCCTTCATTAGAGCAGGTAAATACATTTATCTATCAATGCAGCAATGAGTATTTGAATTATATAAGATCATATAAATACTGCTTTTATTTAAGAGCAAATACTTATTTAATTATGTTTTATACACTTCTAGCTTGTTTTTTGGAGTGTATGACGGACAACATAATTAGGATTAAAAGGAACAATCCCTTTTAATGGCATACATTGTGACTTTTTTTGAATTCAATCAGAACTTTTGCTTAGTTAGTATTTTAATTCAATAAAAAAAATGATATTGAAAACTGTAGCTGCCAACTTTATAAAAAGATTTCTGTCAGTCTCAGAGCTTTTGGCTTTTGCAACATTATGACTTCAGATGGTCTCTTTTTTGCTATCTACACGATAATCAGTTTGTAGGTTTAAACAAAATGCCTTTTACCCATTTTCAATTCATATTTACAAGAATAATTTTTGGAAATGGGGAATGGTATTCTTTAGAACTGTATAGTACTGGAAGGCCTCATGCATATCTTCATGTAGTTGCATCAGTTTGCAAATGAAAACCTTTAAAAGCACAAAGATTTTGTGGTTTACTCAAAAAAGCAGCTGATGCACATGTTTGCTTAACTTACACAGCAATATGCCTGAATGACAGACGTGTGTATTTATGTTAATAAGTCATGCAACACTTAACCTTAGATTTTAATCATATCAGCTGTTAGTTTGTTCTAAATAATTTAATCAGACTGACAGGAGTAACAAAAGCAACGTATTTGTCATATCAGCAACATTGAACTGATCCTGGGACATGATTATAAAGAAAAGCTTTTAGTATGAAAACAAAAGCAACATTTGACTATCTAGCTTGAAGATAATCTGGGGAAAGAAACAAACCCAAAAAGATCATATTAATGCAGTATAGTATAGCTTCAAACAAAGGGAATATAATAAGCAAAGATGTGTATGTATTTTGTTATTTTTTTTTATTTAAATCACCTTTTCAAATTGGATTCTTACCCTTAAAATTTCACACAGCCGTAAAACGACACATGATATAAAGTCGTTTATTTTTCAATTTGCACCAGTTATATCAACACTAGGCTTCAAGATGCACACACTAAACAAGTTGAACTTGCTGCTTGAAATCATTTCTTTCCAACCCAGCTTTTGTGAACTTTTTTTTCTCCAGTTTGTTTTTTATCTGATTTAACTCATAACACTGTTTGCTGTGTAAAAACTGTGTTCTGAGATAATGTCCATGAAAACCTAAAAATCCTTGCAAATACATCCAATGCTTGGCTCAAAAACGTGATGCTGTAGATGTCATGAATGAGGTAATATGTAATAAAATGATGCCTCATTATTTGATGAAAATGGACATTTTTGTCAAATTCAGATGGTTGAGTTTGAACTGAATCCAAGAGGATAAAACTGCTGCAGTCTTATTTATTTAGTGGAAATTTCATTGCATTTATAAAGCTTGAATTAATTCATATCCATGCCTGACGTTACTGACGTTCAATGAAAAGATGGCTGGTATTCAGGGTAATCTCAGCCCAGATTTGAACCGAAGCATCACTTAGCTCTTGGATCAGCTGAAGAGTGACCTGCTGGTATCAGATGGACACAATGTCCCAGAAGTCGTTCATCTTCCATTGGTTTGTGCTCTAGGAACTGCCTAAATACTCTTTCCTCCTGAGATCTGGCATCGTCACACCCCAGGAAAAACCCAGGGATCGCGGTCCACATCCAACACCTAATGGTGGTCAGCTGCTAGAGCTCCGTAGAATCATCTCCCCAGCATCACCACTGAACAACCAAACAAATAAGTCTACTGTTCTTTGACCTTTTCAGGTTTTTTGTGTGTGAAAAATCACAGCTGTGCCAGTGGTGAGACCTGTCACCTCTGATATTCTATGGCAAATACTGGTTAGTCTCTGTGATGCGGGTCAACTATTCGGAGGTCTGGTTCTGATAAGTCTATGATCTATTCTGCTTTGGCAGTGCTCAGCGTCAAAGCAAATACTGGACTCCCATTATCCAGACAGTCTGGTCCAGTTCTCTAACGATTAAACATACCTCCATGTTTGTTAGGCTGTTGTAGGAGATACTAAAAACCTGTAACACTCTGGATAATATGGGTCTCCAGGTATCACCTCATGCTACCACTAGCAGTTTAACACCGCTTTTACACCAGGCCTCATTGTTTTCACTCTAGATTACCAAAGCAGGTAAACAATGTTTAATAGGACTGATGTTATGTTCTGCTTAAAATGTGTTGATTAAGTTTTGGTTTATGGAGTTTTTTTCCCCCCGGTCTTGATAAGAACAGAAAAAGGAAAGGATGTATGTATTTCCGTTCTGATCACAAATTAAATTTTCCTGTGTGTTTTTTGCATGTTTACATTTACAGCCTGACAGTTGCATAAAACTTCTCTAATAATTTTATTTTAATGTTTTTTTTTTCAGTTATATATATTTTTTTCCACGTTTCAAAAATCATGCATTTTGACACCACTGTCTAAGAGGACTTTTTTAATGTAAAACCAGCTGTATGTTTTTTTTCAAGGTCAACATTATTGTCCTTTATAATCCTACAGCTGTTTTATTCAGTTCACCGGTACTGAAAAAGTAATAGATGCATCTAAATGAAGCTGATCCCATTCACTGATGATTTTTGAATTAATCATTCTGAATTTTAACTGCTGGTAAGCTTTGTTTCATCCATAAAGGACCTCAAAAAAAGAGGAAAAGTTTGGTTTTGGAGTCCCTAATAGCAAGTCAGCAGGTCTTAGACTAAAGCTAAACTTGAAGCTATTGTTTTGTGATTTATTTTATCCTATTATAGCAAAAGAAGAGAGCTGTCTCTCATCTATTTACACCGAGGACTTAAGTGTGAAACGACCCTTGTTAACCCCACCTCTGACTGATACTGCAATCTTACAGCTAACCTCTGTACTGTAATCAGTTGATGTGTGTGTTTGAAGCTGTGGTATGTATGAATCGATTTTGACGACTTTGTTTCGTGTTTGCCTGTCTGATGTTACTTAATTGTGTACAATTTCTGTTCAGGTGTTTCTTTTTCCAATCTGTATACTGTTAAAAGATGTACATAGTGAACATGTGCAATGCACAACAATAAACGGTAAACAGATTAGAAGGGGGAAAAAAAACTGCATCTCTTGTTTGATTTTACATACCGGTAGTTCTTATTTGAAACGCAAGATGGAAGCACATACAACCCAAACTGTACCGCATGCTGTGTATTGAATTGTACCTCTTGAGTGAAATGAAAACGTTTCCTTTTTCAAAATGATGATAAATCACAGAGGTCTATGTTATTAAATCTTTTTATTGGTGTGTATCCTATTTCTAATGCTGTAAAACCAGATTTTTAGAGAATTGAAGTAAAGCATAATGGGCCCTACTAAAATACCTGAATCTTAAATATACTGTAAACTAAGAATTTCACAACTTTGTTCTTAAATTATTCTCTGAAGTTCAAGTAAATTAAACAATAGGGAACTAAGAAGCTATGACTGGATTACTGGCACTGAT